CCCCTTCGTACTCGATGGATGCGATTGATTGCCCATGCCGATGCTGGTGCCGACCGCTCTTCTTCTTCCGTTTCGACGTGTTCTGGCGAAATGCTTGAACGACGTCGTGGATGCGACGGTACATACGATATATGTGTGGAAACATCCGACCTGCACGACGGTGTGGATACGGTCATCATTGGTGGGACGGAACGGACGTATTGGGTGCGATCCACGGGATGGAATGCGGAACAGGCTCCAACTGCTGGGATGTGGTGGTGAGATTCGTGTCACGCAGTTTCAGGGCATTGGAGTCACCGGTCGTGCCTGTTGCGAATCGTGTCACCACACAAGGCCAGCCCCAAGTGGCGCATGGTGCCGGGGGTCCAAAAAATCGTCACACATGACGTTGTTGTGCGGGACGTTGGTCTCTTTAATCAACACGCCTCCTCGTTCATCTGTAGGAGAGGAGATGTCCCGGCGGTTTCATTTTTTAAACGTCCAACGCCGGGTGGGATACATGCATCAACATTCCTCTGACCGGACTCATGGGCGTCCTCTTTTGTCGGAGATGTAGTTACAGCTGTCTACTTTCACCACGTCACTAGTCTAGGCACCTTTGAGTCCTTGTCTTTACACTGACACCCTTTTGTTTGATGTGTACCTTTGTTAATTTTGGAGGTGTTGTTCCTGCCGTGTTTCTGCTGCTGAACACAGGTCTCTGAGCCATACGGAATCTGCGACGGCACCTATATCGGTGAGGGGGACAGGGAGTCGTTGGCCACTTTATTGGGGCCATCGCTCTTCCTGGACACCTGCTTCGAGCCGGAAGAGGACTGCGGAGGGGAGCTTTCAGCGTAAGTGTATTACAGAGTCTTGCAGTTGGAATTTTGTGGAGAATCCTGCTCTCTCCAAGATCCACTGGTCTACTTCCCTGATGGTTTCTTCCATCGAAGTGTCGACATGTAATACTGATAGAAGCGTCTAAATACTGATAAATCGACAACGCTCGCGATTAAAGTGATTTGTGTGTCGTGATTTTACAACTTCGATGGTATCTACTGTAGCTGTTTTGGTTTTCTTGTCTGACTTTATCTACTGCGTAGTTGCGTACGCGTCCACTCTGTTTTCCCTTCATCCAAATTAATGTCGTGCCCTTTCCGCCATACGGCAATATCTTTTTTTGTGCGAGCACGGTAAACGGCGATGACCTTGCATTGGTTAGTTCACAACGAACGGTTGTCGATTAGAATTGTTGTTGTTGTATGTTTCTGTGGTGTTTATATCCTCGAACAACGTTTCGACGCCGTGTGCAACCCTCGAAACGACGCGAAACGACATGACAGCCTCAACCGGCGGATGTTCATGGCGCGAGCATTCAAATGCCCGGAGGGCGAAACGGAGGACTGCCCTAAGGAAGAGGTACTCAGCAAACTGCAACCGCTGCAGTCAGTAATTCATACGGCACGGCACGTAGTCTAGGCGTATGCTGCACTCTACGTACGCGTAGACTGTCTGCGTGAAGAAGAATGGTTTGGGGGGGAAAATGTCGATCGCGCATAAGTGTGCGTTGAATAGTTGGCGGAATGTTATTGAGCGGGATGTACAGAGTGTGGAAGATGACGCATATTATTTCCATGGTGGAAGTGCTGTGTTTCCACTCAGTAGACTCGGGATCTCCCACTTTGGACCCGATCCTCGAAGCGGGGGAACGGCTAGACCCTGACGGGAACATGAACAGCACTCGATGAGAGAATATCACAGGCTGGCTATTGCGTTTGCATTCCCTGCCAGGGGAACCTGGAACGTTCTACGTGCGTACGCATATGGTCGTTTCACGCTTTGCAGAGGGCGTTTGTTGTGAGTCCTTCCTTGTTTTGACCTTTTTCCGGTGTACTCTTACCCATCCTTGCTTCGATGGCCATGGCCACGTTTTTCTTCCTCCTGGCCACTGCCACCTTGCTAACCTTCTTGTTGTTGATCAAAGGTTCGGCTCGTTACATGTACGCACGAAACATAACGGACATATTAGGAGGTTCTGAGGCCATATCTGGTGTGGCTTGCACTCTGCTTACACCAAAGACCAACAAAAAATATAGCCTGCCTGTATGCCTAGACCTCGCTGTTCCATTGTGGCGTTCGAATTATATCCGTGACTTGGGTGATTTTGTTCATGCTGCTGCTGTTTCGCGTTGTTCGTTGTTTTCACCAATGAATGCTGTAGGTGTGGGGTGTGTACAGCGCCATCACCAACGCAACAACGGGCGAGAACAGGCTGGGTTTCCTGCGAGCGTGGGCTGACGGCGCTCTCCACCCCGTTGACGTCGTTTCGCAATGGTGGACGTGAGTAGCTGTCGTTACCTCCTGTGTTGTGGCTTCGTATTAAGAGTATAGAGTAGTGTTTTTCCTCCTCTTCTGGTGCTGCCGTAACACGTTGCTGTCAAGACGTCGTTTCGCCAATGGTTCGCTTGAAGACCACCTATGTGGCCAGCTTTCATCTCACGTATGCGTACTACAACATGTGTACCGTAGGCTGTAGCGGAGTAGACACAGGGGGAGGTGCCTTGCAGTAGCTTAGGTCTTGCGTAAACGACCAAGATGAAGTGGAACATCCGGGACGAAAAACATACCATGGTACAACTCATTTAATACCCGCGGCCAGTCAGTCAGTCGTCTACTACACACGACACGACCCGAGGCGGGGAAAACGAACGGGGTGTGCCAGGTTTGCATCGATAGAGTATATGTAGAAGAACAACGTAGCACAAGCGTCAGCACCACGCCCGACGGTTGAACCTGGTCCACCTGCCTCCTTTGTAATTTCGTTGTTTTCATCGTATCGCCGTATGGTCCTACTGTTTGATGTACAGCGTACTCTCTACAGTATGCTAAAAGTCAGCGCTGCAAAACATGAGAACGCCCCTCCCCCCGCCTGCTCCGTCCTCTCGAGGACGCGTGGTCAATGGTCCAACAGCCAAGACATGTAATCATGAGTACCCCCCCCCACCGCCCCCCCCTCGGTGTTTGCCATCGGGATTGGGTTTTCGTCGCTTGGCAACGACGTTGTAAAACAAGCCAATTCACTTCGTGAACTCGGCAACCAGGTTACCGTTTTTTTTTTTACCTCGGTTTTTTTTTTTTGGCGGTAACCATAATGGTGGTCGAGTAGATCATGTTGTGCGGGGTCGAGAAACCTCACTCCGCGCAACGGGGGATGATCGCACCACGTTGTGTTAAAATGGTCAAGCTTCCTCGAGGCGGTTACACAGTGCTTACAACTGTCTCTGGAAGTGAACGCACCAGAAAATAAATTAAGTCATACGTAGCTGTCATCCGTACGCAAGGAAGTAAGCACAAGATGCCGAACACCCTTGGCAGGATGCAGCTCACCCTTCATGCGACTCGCCAAATACCTCACGGCGCTTCGCGCTTGGTGATGTGAGTGCCTGGTCCGGTGAGAACCCGGCGTGCTCCGTCCCGGCTTTGTAGGGATGCGAGGTCAATGGTCAAACGACTACGGCATGCACGACTATGAGTACACCCCCCCCCCCCCCCCCCCCCCC